AAGTGTACAGTGGAAACAAAGTCCTTCCTAGAAGCAGATTTAGCAGAACTTGGGGGCACAGTGGAGCTTTCTGAGCTTGAACCTCCTCATCTGCCATCAGAAGTGGCAGGTGCTCAGGCACGTTTGGGGAACAGAGTGGGATGTTATGTTCTTAAAAAAAAATAAAATTTAAACATGGAATGGAAAGGATGCCTGCTTCAGAGGGCCACTCTGAAGCCTGATTGAACAGTCACCAGGTACACCCTACCCTCCTCCCAGGGGGACTCCATCTGGTTCTCCCCAAACTCTGAAACGGAGCCCCCTGCCCAGTTTTGCCTTCTCTCTAATACAGTTCTCATTCACCTACTGAGAGCCCCAGCCAAGTTCAAGAAGAAGGAGGCCAGAAGCTGTACCTCTGCAACCTCAGAGGTGAGGACTATTTCTTGATGTGGCCCAGAGGCCACTTTCATCATAAGCATCCAGGAGACTTGGGCTGCATCCTAGATTTTCTGAATCAGAATCTCTGAGTGTGGGGACCGGGGTCTGCATCCTGGGAAATGCTAACCACTAAAAGTTGGGCCCACTGGGCTGGAGCAGGGGGAATCTGTAGCTGGGACCCCCCTTCGGCAGAGAGGCCCGCACCCATGGGCCTTGCTTGCCTCTGAGCGAGGACTCACCGCCACAGACTTGACCTGCTTCCCTGCAAACCAGCGCAGTTGCTCCAGGAATCCTTTGAACACCTCAGTTTTCTGGGCAGGAAGCTTGGCAACTGCATCTACCAGGATCTTTTCCACAGAGCTCAAGGGGCACGCAGCTCCAAAGGAGATGCCTAGGCACACACACTCAGAATCACAGTCACACCCTCTACCGTGAGGACACGTCCCATGCAGCTCCTCAGAGACTCAAGCAAAGCTGAACCATGACCTACATCTTTACTAGACAAGGAGAGTAGGGCTCAGAGAGGTTCAGCTGCTTACCAAATGCGCAGGCCTCTGGACTCTGTAACCTATTCTCTTTCCTCTAAACTAGCAGTTCTCCAATAGCATCAGCATAGGCAGGGGTAAAGTCCTAACGTTGTTTTTTTTTTTAAAAAAGTACCCAAGCACTACCACCCCTACTTCTCCACTTCCCCCAACCCCATGAATGATTCTAATGTGTGGGCAGGACTGAGGAAAATCAATGAAATCTCATAGACTCCTGCTTGCTGGCACCTGACCATGGAAACCTGGGGGAGGAAAGGCCAGGAGGGGTGCCCCCTTCTCTAGTCACCCCTCTCCCCTGTGCAAACTGAGTTCCAGGGAAAGCAGGTGGCAGCCAAAGGCCAAGGGCAGGCTGTCCTGGTACCCACCACCCGCTTGGGGACATCCCCAGCATCACTGTGCCACCATGGGCTCAGGGTGAACCCCTTACCCTCTGGTCCATGTGTCACCATATTCAGCTCAGGGATCCAGGCCGGGCAGACAATAAGAGGAAAGAGCATGTTCTTAAACTTCATCTCAATGCCTGGAGAGAGAAGCCGTTATAGACCTCAGCCGCCCCTCCCACTATGCATAGCTTTATGACATATTCCCAATTGCCACGTGCTGGGGACGGTGCAGGGCTGAGTTAGGAAACACAGTGGGCAAGGCATGGGATTAGGGAAGACTATGTCTTTCTCTCCCTTGCAAAAATAAAAAAAAAACTATCCATATTCAAATGAAATGAATTTAAATTTACTGTACTGTGTGTATGCATGTGTTTGTGCTGTGTGTGTAATAACAACATTAAAAAACACAGGGATCTGGGTATGTTGGAAATTCTTCCAAGAACTTTCCTTTTTTAAGTAACTTAATCCTCCCAGCAGCTCTATAAGTACTGTGGGTTTCTGCTCACAGATGAAGAAACTTAGACACAGAGAGATCAAGGCTTTTACCCACATCACACAGCTAAGAACAGGCACATTTCAGTTCTTGAGCTACTGTTAGTTTAGGATATAACAATAAAAAGATAGAAGTCCAAAATTAAAGTGAAAAAGGAAAATGAGAGCAATCTTCCTTCCAGGCCTCAGAATCTGAGTTCTTCAGGGTGTGGGGCTTTACATGCCCATAACCATGTCCAGCTTCTGTCATCTCAGCTAAGCAAGTTAGGACCTCTGGGACACATGCATACATGGGTTCCTGAGACCCAGTTGGCGCAGCACCTCTCCTGACCCCACCCATGGGGATATAGATGGGAAAGGTTGGAGATAAATGCTGGAGCCCGCTACCCAGTACCCAGTGGTGGCCTAGCCCCATGCCTGTGCATTTCTGCAACGAGTCTGGCTTGTGTGGGTGTCCTCACCCCCAGAACACAGAATGCAGATGGAGACCTGGGGCCCATCTGGATCTGGCTTTCTCTAAGCCCACTCCCCCGACACCCTGCACTGGCTGTGGGCGGTTACCTGGGGTGTTGAGTTGATATAATGTGTGTGAATTCCTTTCTCTTGGAAGCCAGGGTTTGTCTGACTCATGGCAAGGAATATGTCCAGTGTCAGGGCATCCTGGGATCCTTCTATCTACCTTCAATCAAGCCCTGGACCCTAGGCCATGACTATATGGGCAAAGGCAGTGTAGCAAAGAGAACACCAACTGCCATGAGTCCTACTAAGCCAGAGCCACACAATCACATCACAGGCATGTCTCACCAGGCACAATGTGTCACACAAGTGCAGCTGGGGACTCTGTACTGTATCTGTGCTTAAGAGGGCAGGGCCAGCTCTCTGCTCTAAAAGCACTGAACCAAGCCAGGCTCCCTTCTATGGCTGAAGATAGAACCTAGATACTGAAGACTCCTTTAGGAACTAGAGCCAAGAGACCCCCAGCCTCTGCATTTGGCTACTTGAAAGCATGGCATGCCACCTCACTCCCAATCAGAGGTCCTCTAGGATAAACCTTGACTGTGCCATGATCTTCAGCTGGGAGCCTCACTAGGTGCGGGACCTAGCAAGGTGGACACCAACCAAACCAGGCTTAGAAAAGAAGGAGAGTACAGGGCCTGGGCCTCTCTGTCATCTTGTTCTGTCTGAAAGAGCATGGGGGCTGAAATTGCACATCTTGAGCCTCCCTGGCCTTTCCAACTCTTGTGGGTCCCACATCCCAGGTTGGGGCACAGCCCCAGGCAGCACACACACAGTGACACTCCCTCTCTTTACCACCCTTGTAGTGGTGGCCCTAGGGTTCTTTGCTCATATAGTCATGGCCCTAGGGACCAGGGGTAGTAAGACTTAAGGAGATTAGAAGGGTCCTCAGAGATCCTCAGACACTGGACATGTTCCTTGCTATGAGTCAGACACCCTAACTTGTGTCCTTCTCCTTTACCTTATCACATCATCCTCCAGAAGAGGGGTAGTGGGAGGCAAGAGTGTGGTCTTTCTAGACGCCCGTTCCCCAGCGTCTATAAATCTCTGGCTAGACTCTGCCTCCATTCAGCCCTCCTTCTTCACCTAGAAGAGCCTTGAGGGAAGGAACCATGTCCAGTTGATCCTTGTGTCCCAAGCCCTTCCCTGAGACCCTGGCTTGTAGCTGGCACTCTGTAGATGTCCGGGGAGAAGAGTCCATGAGCTTGCAAGGATTTCTTTTGATACTCAAAGCAGCCCTCTGAGGAGTTACCCCATAGAAGGAATGGGAAATGGTGGTGAGGGAGGCCAAGGAATTTTCCTGGGAACACACAGCCATCCAGGGTTCAAACCAGGTCTGTGTGACTTCAGAGCCAGGGTCTCAGCAGGGGAAATCAAGTGAGTGTCCAGGGCCCTTCAGTGGTTTCCCAGGGGAGTCAGTGGGACAGAGGTGGGTACAGAATGTGGGGAGGTCAGGGAAGGGTGAGGGCAAGCAGGAAGGGTCCAGAATCCCTACCAGTCCTTCGGCAGTACCCAGGCCCTGGCCCTTACCAATCTCCGTGTTCCCCACCACGAGCTTGGCGTCAGGGTGCTGAGCTTTGAGTTCCAGCAGCTCCCGCAGGGTGGAGGCCTGGATCCAGGTCACACGTTCCCCTTCAAAGCGCAGCTGCTTCTGGGGAGTGTCCTTCAGCCTCTGGGAATTGTAGTACGCTTACTGAACTGTCTCCCTCCTCTTCCCATCCCCCCGAGAAATTGCTTTATGTCTGTAATGGGGTCAACTCCTCTGTTGACTTGCTTAATACCTAGTTCACCAGAAAGACCTATGTACATTGGGGAGGAGGGAGGACTAGCACACACTGAGGTAGGAACTCCACTGGCACTTAGTAAACACATCTTCCCCATCTTGACTTCAATGAAGGAGGCCGTGTGAGTCTTGTTTTACCAGCAAAGGAGCAACCCAGAGAGATCAAGGAGGCTGTGGGACCTGCTGACCTTACAGAAAGCCCAGGTTTCTTGCAGTACCCCCACGCTGTCTCCAGGGGGCGCCGTGGGCAAGGTGCGAGAAGGAACAGAGGTGGAGAAGGAGGGAGTGTGAGAAGGGAAAGGGGAGGAGAGCTAGATCTGGTGCACAGCTGGTGACACTGGGCTGGGAAAGAAAGCCCCCCAATCAAACTGATGGTGTTTCCCAGGTTTCACAATCTGAAAGAAGTGATGTGGTGGCCTACTGCAAATCTGTCCTCTCCAGCCTGTCAGACCCAGGAGGGAGGCTGCAGAGACTCCACAATCCCAAGAAATGCATATCTGAAAAACTCAAGAGTGGCCTGACTTTTTCCCTGCCATAACTGTCAGTGGGAAAATGGGCACGACAGAGGTGTCCTGAAGACGGAACTACAAGCCATGAATCATGTCCTTCGAATATAACTTAGTTTGTTTTAAAAGAAATAGTTTGGATACAGAGAGAGGAATAGGTGGCTTCGTGGGCTTACACATTAGATAAAGT